GCTCAAGCGACCCAGGCTCGTCCCCGCTGGCTCGTTTTCTCTCAGCACCATGGTGTAAACGGCCTGGTTGAAGGTGGGCGCGTTGTCGTTCACATCCAAGAGCCGCACGAGCAGCATCTTCGACGCCGAGAGCGTGGGGGAGCCCTCGTCGCGTGCCACCACGGTCACGTTGTACTCCGCCACCTCCTCGCGGTCCAGCACCTCCAATGTCACCAGTGAGTACGCGTCCGGCGCCAGTCGTGCGATGCTGAAAGGTTGCTCTCCTGCCAGCTCGCAACTCGTCCTGCCGTTGTCCCCCGAGTCCCGGTCCCGCACGCTGAAGAGGGCCACCACCGTGTTCGGAGGCGCAGCTTCCGAGAGGGTGCTGCTGAGGGAGGTGATGATCACCTCAGGGGCGTTGTCGTTCACGTCTTCCACCTGCACCTCAACTTTGCAATGCGTGGACAGGCCCCCTCCGTCTGTGGCCTGGACATATATCTCGTAGGTCTTCGTTTCTTCGTAATCCACCGGCTTTTTGAGTCGAACCTGCCCTGTCTCTGGATTTATTTTAAACGTCTGGAGATTTTCCTCTGAATTGTGAGCTATGGAATAGGTTATTTCCCCGTTCGTTCCTGAGTCTAGATCGCTAGCAGACACCACCACCACTGGAGTATCCTGAGCGCTATTTTCTAATACTCGGACTTTATACAGACTATGGGTAAATACCGGGATGTTGTCATTTATATCCAGAACCACCACGCGGATTAAGGCCGTGCCAGAGCGCGGTGGAGACCCACCATCCACAGCCGTGACACTGAAAACCACTTCTGCTTGCTGCTCCCGGTCCAGGGCTCGGTCCAACACCAGCTCGGCATACCTCCTGCCGTCACTCCGCCTCCAGGTGTAGATACGGAAATACTCGTTCGAGCTGATACTGTAATACTGAAGACTGTTGTTCCCTACATCTGGATCCTGAGCGCTTTCCAACAAAAACCGAGCTTCTGGCATTGCAGTTTCCGGGATCTTTAAAACCATCTCTTTGTTTAAGAATACAGGAGCATGATCATTAATGTCAATGAGGCTTACCTCAGCTCGGAAGGACTGCAGTGGGCTCTCCAGCAGCACCGCGAAACGCACCAGGCAGGGCTCGCTCTGCCCGCACAGCTCCTCCCGGTCCATTTGCTCTCTCACCACCAAATCCCCGGTGTGTTTGTTCAGCTGCAAATACTGCTTTTCTCCTTCAGGAACGATCCGAGCCTGTCGAGCCGATAATTCCTCACCGGCCAGTCCCAAATCCTTAGCAATATTCGCCACAAAGGAGCCTCTCTCCGCCTCTTCGGGCACAGAGTACCGGACAGTTTCTGCTCTCTTCCCGGTCACACAGAGCAGCAAGATCAGAACCATCGCTCTCTCTGGGAGCGGTTCCTCGCTCTTCCTCAGCTCCATTCCCTCCCAGCGGACCGATCTCCCCCCTCTGTGAGCTGGATGGAGCCTGCCGACCCCCGAGCAGCACAGCCTGGGAGGGTGCAGCCCCGCAGTCCCGGGGGCGGTGGTTCCGGGAGCTGCGCGGAGTCTCCACGCCTTTGCGGTCAGCAGCGGCACCAGGCGGCCGACCTGCAGAAGGACGCGGAGGTTTCCCAGCGTCAAGCCTGCAGAACAGAGCGAAACCGCTCGATTTCTGTCTTCCAAGGCTAAGGCATACAGATTTAACTGTCCACACGACCTGTTCAATGTATAGCCAGTATTTGAATGAGCAGTGCTTCTGTTTGCTTTTTATTTGGAAACGAGATTTATTTATAGCTGCTTTTTCTAATTTCCCTCCCTACTACGGCTTGAACTGTTTATGCACAGTGAAGAAAATAATTTTAGGCTGTTCAGCTAAAAAAGCCGTGTATTGTTACAGGTGTCCAGCATCCAGAGTGAGCTGGTCCATGAACTTGCTGGAGCAGACCTAGCTTGTTCCCCCAATTCAGGATCTCTCAAGCTCGGAGCCCTCGCGAAAGGGCTGGGGCCAGCATCTTTCGGACCTCGTCCTGGCTGAGAAAAGCCCCTCCACCTTGCTCCGGCTTCTGAGAACGGCTTACTTGCCAAGTCGCTCTGATTTCCCCTGCAATAAGTTCACTCCAAATGCACAGATTTATTCCCGAAATCCTGCTTTTGGGGTGGCTATTTCCTCGGCGATGACTGCGACAAGTGACCTTAGAGACAGCACATTCACCTGAGGGAGTTCCAGGTAGGTTTTATTGTTTTCTGTCATGAGGCATTTGACTCTTAAAAACGTGTGAGACAGGAAATACCTCATTACTTTATAGATTAATATCGATTAATGAAAGGAAAACAGAAAGCCTCTTGAAGCCCTATATTCTACAGTGCCTTAAGTTTATTGTAAACGTTTTAGCCTATTTTACTGTAAAACCACAAACAGTACTTCTAATTCTCTACTGCCTTATACTGAAAAAAAATGAAATGTTGATTTCAACTTTACGTTGTGAAAAGAAAATACATTGCTCACAGCCCACTCTTTACAGTATGAAGAACCTGCAAACTGCTGGTCAAATACGTGAAGTGTGCTAATGTCAGCAGCTTCTAGTGTAACCAGCTTCTGCTTGTTATTAAGGAACTCCTTTGCAATTACCACTTAATTTTACTTAGTATCTGTTTGGCCTGTTATTGAACAGACTGCAGAAAATTAGCACATTATTACAGAGCCTACTCCATAAGAATAAAACCACAGAAAACATGATGCAGGAAAAAGTTATCCTGAAGATCTGCTTCCAGTTTTCAGGATTTCCCTTAGCATTTAGAAGCAGTATCACTCTCAAAATCCTACATCAAGTCTCGGTAACCAACATGTAACACAGTCCTCCTCCCCCACCCATATCACAACTACAAAATATCTACATGATAAAAGTACTGCTCAAGAGGAGAGTGTTTTTGCTCTCTCACAGAGAAGCCTTGTACCTTCCTGGTACTTTTTCGGTGGGTGTTTGGTCTCTTCGTTCCCTTTTCCCCGGAGGAAGTTAGCCGGTGAGGACAGGCATGCTTGTCTTTCTCTTCACTTACTGATCGGTGAGCCAAGGGTTTTGATCAGCATTGACACTTAGCTCCACCCCCCTGTTTGCAGTGCAAGGTGCTGCCGCAGGTCTGGGACCCTTGTCTTCAGAGAGGGCAGCTCTGTCCTGCAAAGAACAGAGAGTGGAGTTTGTCGTTGGGGTGTTGAAGGTAAGCAGGCATCAGCGAGCAGGTAGAAGGCATGTCTTACACCACTGCATGGGTGACACCACTCTTTACCCAGAGCCAAAGGGCGGGTTGGACAAGTCAGTGAGTCCCCAGTCTGAACCGGGAAAATCTAAAGCTAGAAACTATCCTCCACTGTGAACATCACAAAGCCACTACTACAAGCCTTTTCTGAGTCTGAGGGAGTAATTTAAGATGGTAAGAGCCCAAAATAAAACCACTTTCTCACGAAGTGTAAATGTGGTTTAATGCTGATGTAGGAAGAAGGGTCCTTTTCTCCCCTGAGACTGCTGTGACTGTGGTTCTAAGAACCTACATTAAAGTGAGTCCAAGTCATCAGTGGTTATGAGATATGAAAATGTTGTGTGGTGACCGTAAGATGGTGTTTGTGGGTTTTTAGCCTCATATGTGTTCATCTTCCAGACTGTTGTGAAGAGTTAGACAGGTCCCCAGCAACTAATAATCCCGTAAGGAAAGAAGGACCTTTACAATAACCACCTCTTGTCTCCCCCACGCTTTTTGAACAGCCAGAGCTTAAGGGGCGTCTCGGAAATGACTCACTTTAAGTTCACAGCACCACTGGGAAGAGAAGTGCGGATGCCGTCCGGGAGAACCCTTCTGGGTCAGGAAGGGACTGGGAAGGTGCATTGTAAATCTCCGACAACCACATTTCTCTGGCCAGTATTGTTCACCCAAGCCACAAAAATATAAGGGAATTTAATGGCAGAGGTGTCCACCTCCGTGACCTCCGGTAGCTTGTAAGGCAGCGTGAGTTCAGCACTGCCATCACCCTGGTGAACTTGGCAGCGCCGAGCACCAGCCCTTAACAGCAGTGTAAGGGACACCGTCGGTGAAGTGACACCCCTTTGCACCGTTGTCCCGGCTGACCCTGGACAGGACCACTACATTCCTGGTGCTGCCGGCGCCAGCAGGACGTGTTCCTGTCCTGAGTCCCTACGGGCTCTCGACAGTACACATTGTGTGGCATCCATACCCCTGCTACTCATCTTCTAATGGTCCAGCTGCCCCGCTTTGTGGTGACACCAAAGACTTGATCTAACGTGAATACTGGATGCAGAGAAGTGCAGTTAGTCAGCACTTGAGGACTCGCTGAGCCTTGTCGGATCCTCCTGGGAGTCCCCTGCCAGAGGCGCTGAGACCCTCCCGAATCTCCCCTCCC